TCTGGGAAATTTAAGCGGGTATGTTCCTGTATTTCTCTACTTAAATCCTCTATTGTCATAATAATGGTAAAGCCAGCCAGTCTTAGAACCCAGTAATATATGCTCAGCATACTTCCCTGGCAGTTAGAGATGATTTTAAGAATACTTAAGCTCTAAAGAAATTCTCAGGCCAAAAAAATGAGGTATTTCAGAAGGTATATTATCTGTCATATTCGCTTCTGGGCCACCATCCCTATCATCCCCAGGATGAAGGATGGAGAAGGTGGGCCTTTGAAAGAACAACACTAATACCAATATAACAAGATATTTTGTCCCTTCCTGTTTTAAGCCAGTATTTCGAATTCTATAAAATATAGATGATCAATACTTCTTTATCATAAATTTTCACATGTGAACTTAAAAGTAAAAATAAAGTCCTGAGGTAGTGAAAAAAAATCAATCTGGGAAAATATACAGTATTTGCTTCGTATCAGTTGCCATTCCTAACTCATTGCCAATTTAATACATATCTAGCTACACCTCTACCTCCACATAGTGTTTAGTTATAGAAAATGTTACCTGTGCCCTCTACAATTCTAGGCAAGATGGACATTTTACTGTTAAAGGAGGGTATCACACCAAGGACAACTCAAAACCATACTAAACTATCCTGACAAACCCCCTGGAAAGGAAAGTTTCAGTGGATGATTTAGGTCCTTCATTTACTGAGTTCATACTAAGAGTTCCTGCTAATTACCTCACTGTTCTGGAAGACCCTTGTTTACACTCCCCTTTGTAGGCCTGAAGGCCCCTAATAACCTGCCTTATAATTAGTGATTTTTCCTCACTCAGGAAGCAAGTGGACTTTAAAAAGCATGGACCATTCTTAAAAGTCTACAAATTACAAGTAAAACAGTTAGTGCTTGTGATGCTCCTGTGATCAATCTTTGTCCAAACTAGTAACACTGTTGTTACTACTGAGGAACAGAGAGGGACCTGCACATGGAACCCACTGTAGATAAGCTTTGATCGCATCTCAGCACTGCCCATCATTTATTCTCCCAAGGGAGGTGACCAAAAGGGGTTAAAACACTTCTTTCTGACACAGAGCCAGTGATAGACAAACCATCTGGGACAAATCCCCAGCCCCTCCTCCCAAAAGTGGGGAGTCACACTGACTAGTCTTTTGAAAGGAAGTACCCACAGGCAGAGGAGTGAAGCGCATGCAGTAACACCTGAATGCTGTCTAATAAAGTTGTGAGTGGGAAAGAGGCCGTAAAGAACAGCATCTTGACCTCAGATGTTCACTGCAGTAAAAATTCCTGGGAAAAAAGAGCAACACATGAGACATGCTTGCATCCATTTCTCATGAGCCTCCTTGTACTGGGTTGGCCAAAAAGTTCGCTCTGGTTTTTCATGTTAGGGAAAATCCTGCATGAACTTTGTGGCCGACTTGATAGATATTTGTCAGAACCTCCCCAGATATATCCATACAGTGGAGTACATGAAAGTATAACCGTGCCACAACATTCAAACAGACATATGTCAAAATGTAGTATTTGCTAGCGGGTTATAGGATAATGGGTAAGTTACTCTATATGCTACTTAAAACTTTTCTGTTTTCCAAATTTTCCTCAAATTGCTTTTTTTAAAATTAGAAAAATATCCCTTCTCCAGAAAGTCTCAGTGATTGACCTAATAAAGAAGTTCCTTTCTCTATTAAGTTCTGATATAAAAATAAGGCAGGAATCTTAATGAAACTAACTTTATACAATATTGCGATCATTCTCTATAATGTTGAATTTTATATTATGCATATTGGTAAGATTTTCCTACCCTTTTGAAGTCTTTACACTTGGCTATGTGCAGCTTTCTCATGTACAGTTAAATATAAAGTATAATAAGTTAAGATAAAATATATTCTTAATATGTAACTAAACTATTATCACATTTGTCTTAGTCTGCTTTTTACCCTAGAGCCTAGGATGGTGCCTAGCCTATAGAGGCATTTAATATATAAATATTTGAATAAATGAATGGTTTTTCTGTACTTAAGTCATTTTTATTTAAAACACTAATTCCAGGAATATATCCTATTGTAACTCTGAGGGCTGCCTCACAAAGAAAAGTGAAAATGTACATCAATTCATTTTTTCTTCCCTTTTATTATCAGGGGGCACAGTTTCTAACAGAACTTGCACCTCTGTGTAAGATTTACTGCTCTGATGGAGAAGAATACACCATATCTAGGTGAGTTACTTTTTAACCACAATTTTGGAGAAACAAAGAAGATAATATTTTTCTTCAAAGCAATATTTTCTTTAAATAGCTGTGTTAGAGGACGGTTGATGGAAGTGAATGAAAACATTCTCCATAAGCCATCTATTCTTCAAGAGAAGGTAAAAGGGTCTGGGGAAGTGAGATCCCATCCACACACTTTTTACCCGATTTTTTACCATTTGACAGTATTAAATATTCTATTTCCCTTCTAGCCATCCACCGAAGGATACATTGCAGTTGTGTTGCCCAAGTTTGAAGAAAGTAAAAGCATAACAGAAGGGTTACTGACACAAAAACAGTATGAAGAAGTCGTGGTGAAACGCATCAATGCCACAACAGCGACCTCATGAGGATTAAGACTGAGTGAAAACAACAGGGCATTCTTATTCTTACCTGGCCTACCAGTCAGTGCACTAAGGAAGAACCAGAGATGCTGAAGCATACTTCACACCCAGCCATCCGCAGGGAGGCCTGATTGAAAACCTGACCTAGGTTTCCTTCTTTGTCTTGCATAACAAGCCTTGATTCCATTTTGTCTTCAACCTCCCAGATCTGCCTGCCCACGTACTCACTCTGTTCTTTTGCTTTTCTCTTTCTAACAACTGGCAAGCGACAGACGTTTTTCTGATTAAAAACCAACAAAAAAAGCACTTTGAGGAAAATTTGAAAAAGACAGAAAACACAGCAAAATAAAAAATAATTTACCCATCATCCTGTAACCCGTTAGTAAATACTAGGTTTTGATGTGATTCTGTTTGAGTATTATGTCATGGTTATTGTTTTTGCCTCAATTTTCCATCACTTTGAAGTTGAAAAACAACAACTGGCCTTTCTTACCCAATCTGCTTCAGTGTGACACGACCAAAACGTCTGGTCCCACCCCTTCTGCCCCAACTCCCCCGCTCAGGTTGCTGGGAAGAGGCAGGGTGTAGAGTGTACCTTCTCTATGTCTATGGGTCGGCCTTCAACTCTGAACAATGTAGCACTGTAACACTGGTTTCTTAATGAGGGACACATGAAGAGGCTTTGAAAGGGGCTTTGCTAACATGGAAGTATCAATATTATAATGCTGTATGAAGTAACATGTGCATTTGTGGTCACTCAGTCTCACACTCTAG